AACTAATTTCTTTAGTTTAATGCATGTCTAAAGACAACCTTCCAATGTTCTTTTAACATTAATAAGTGAGCAGCCAGGCGTGGTATTGATGCCTGTAATCGCAGCACTTTGGGAGGTGGAGGTGAGAAGATTATCTGAGTTCCGGGGTTTGAGACCAGCCTCAGCAACATGGCAAGACCTTGTCTCTACAATAAATAAAAAAAATCAGCTGGGCATGGTGGCGTGCACCTGTGGTTCCAGCTACTTGTTTTGTTTTGTTTTTGTTTGTTTTTGAACCAGAGTCTCACTCTGTCACCCAGGCTAGAGTGCAGTGGCACACTCACAGCCACCGTAGCCTCAACCTGCTGGGACTACAGGTGTGCTGGACCTATGACCTGCTGGAACTACAGGTGTGCACCACCATGCCCGGCTAATTTTTCTTGATTTATTGTAGAGATAAGGTTTCACCAAATTGCCCAGCTGGTCTTGAACCTGTAGGTTCCAGCAGTCCTCTCACCTCGGCCTCCCAAAGTGCTGGGATTATAGGCATGAGCCACTGCGCCTGGCCTGTTCCAGGTGCTTAGAAAGCTGAGGCAGAAGGATCACCTGAGCCCAACAGGTTAAGGCTGTGGTGGTCATGAGCGTGCCACTGCACTCCAGCCTGGGCGACAGAGTGAGACTCCAACTAAAAAAAAAAAAGTACAATGATTTTAACGAGTGTTAATTTTAATCTAGCATAAGCTTGAGTCAGTTCCATAAAGAAGACTATAATTACTAACAAAAATAAAGTGAAAAACTATACAGCAATTAATATGAACAAACTTGCTTCTCACAGCAACATGGATAAATCTCACAAATGTAATACTGAGTAAATGAAGCCAGACATGCGCAAAAATACATAGTAACTTCATTTATATGAAATGGCAAATAGGCTAAATGACTCTAGAAGTCAGGTTAATAGCTACCTTTGGAGAGAATGAATGAGAATGATTGGGAGGAGCTCCAAAGGGTGTTTTCCCAAGAGCTGGACAGCTTCTTTACCTAGGTGGTGGTTATACAGGTAGGGTCAATTTTGATAATTCATTGGGTGGTACACATATGATTTGTGTACTTTTCAGTATGTGTGCTATATTGTAAAAAAAGATAAAGCTTAATGAAAAGCAATTAAGGGAAGGAATACAAACTTTTTTCATCATGTCAGATTTTGGTATGCCTGCTGTGTGTTATATTTAATATGCTTAAAGTGTAGGTTAATGATTCAAGATATAGGTAAAGAATTATTGAATATTGAAATAAAAAACTCTCTAGAGTGAATAAATGTCTCAGAGTGGCTCAGATAATACATGAAAGATGGAATCTGGTGTAAGGCAGAGAAGAGTTAAATGGTAGCACTTTGTGAACCTAAGATCCCTCAGACTGGGAATCTGAGCTGATCTTCCCTCAGCAAGTATGAGGAAGTAGGCAAGAGGTGTGCTTTTCACATTTTTCAGAATAGAAACCAGGCAAGCAGATAGAACTACTGCTCTCCTGGGATCTGGTGAAAATCATGATGAAAAAAACAAAGAAAAGAAAAAAGAGAAAGAGAAAGGTAGAGTAAGAACTAGGGAGTAAGATGGAACTTGGACCTGAAAAATGTTGGCTTTGGACAACTTGATAGAATTACCAAATTATCTGGAAGGGAATAATCTTTTTTCTTGTTTTCTTTTTTTGAGTAGGAGTCTCACTCTTATCCCCTAGGCTGGAGTGCAATGTCACACTCATGGCCACCGCAGTCTTCACCTGCTGTGCTCGGGTGATCCTCCTGCCTCAGCCTTCCAAGTAGCTGGAACTACAGGCATGCGCCACCACACCAGGCTAATTTTATTTTTGGTTTATTGTAGAGATGAGATCTTGTTATGTTGCCCAGGCTGGTCTGGAACCCATGGGCTCAGGCAATCCTCTCTTACCTCCGCCTTTCAAAGTGCTGGGATTACACGTGTAAACCACTGAGCCCAACTGGAAGGGAAGAATCTTAAAGAATGACATCTTTGCTCATTGGACTTATTTACTAAATTGTGTCTTTATAAGTCCTCATGCTTGCTTGTGAGAAGTTGCAAACCTCACAGGTTTTCCTTGCAACAGATGGCCACATATACGACAGAATGTCCTAATGGTGTATTTTTTTTTTTTTTGAGTTGGAGTCTCACTCTGTCATCTAGGCTGGAATGCAGTGTCATGCTCATGGTTACCACAGCTTCAACCTGCTGGGCTCAGGCGATCCTTCCACCTCAGCCTTACAAGTAGCTGGAACTACAGTCATGCGCTAGCACACTCAACTGATTTTTTTAAAAAATGTTATTATAGAGGAGAGGTCTCCCCATGTTATTCAGGCTGGTCTTGAACACGTGGGCTCTTGCCTCCACCTCCCATGCCTGGGATTACAGGCATGGGCCACTGTGCCTGGCTAACAGAAGCTTTAAGAGAAAATGGAGGAAAAGGAAATAAAGTCACTATCCCAAGGGCTATTCTATATACCTTATTTTGTTTAATGAAAGAGACAGAAACCAGAACTACCCCCTCGCAAATTGTGAAATACCCTTACTTAACATTCCTGCTGACTTGTTGAGGCTTATATTAACTTAAAACATTTTAATTCAGTATCATTATGTTTTAGACTACAAGGCTTACCTCCGTCTGAACATATCAACAAGATGTTCTTTTGCAAAGGGCATTGTCAAGCAATAGTCTCGGCACTGAAAACCTAAAGTCACAAAAATATGAAGCTGAAAAAAAAATTGCAAGATGAAATCTAGAGAAATATAAATGTCAAGATGGAGAATGGAAAAAAAAACGATACAAAAGTGACCTTAAGAAATTTGAGATTCCTCCAAGTCTTGGTAGACACCTTCATTTTAAATTCTTGGCAAAAGCTAAGGATGAGTCTCTGAGAAATAAGTTCTGAGCAATGGAAAGAAGGAAACATAAGAGAATCTGATAACAGAAATACCATTGCTTGTGTATAAGAAACATCTCTAAGAACTCAGAGATAGTTGACATGTGAAGATGGGTTGCTAGTTTTCTGCATTAGGTATATAAAATAAAATAAAGCACACTGGGAAGGGATAGAGGGATTTGCAACTTGAACTAAGGGATAGAGGGATTTACAACTTAAAACATGGATTTTTGGTTGGTTGGCAACTCATCCGAACACTCGTTCATTATGTCTGTATTAAGCATCCATGATGTGTCAGACATGACATACTGTACTAAGATATAAAACAGATGAGACATTGTCCCTGACCTTTACAAAAGCACACTCTTAGGGGAGGTAGAAATGTAAATAAGTACCTGAAATGTGTTCACCTAATTGAAATATAGTTCAGTAATTTATCTTTGGGGTTCTTTGACTCTCCTTTTCAATTTCTGTTTCTCCTCAGGGTCTTGTGCCCAGCTAGCTGTTAGAATCCTCCCCATGATGATATATCTCTGATAAAGGTGTGAAGCACTATTAACAGGGAACTTAAATATATATCTTTTTTAGAGCCTTGGTTTCACTCTGTTACCGAAACTGGAATGCAGCTGTGTGGTCATAGTTTACTGCAGCTTCTAACTCCTGGGCTTAAGCAAACCTCCCAACGGATCCTCCTGAGTAGCTAGTACTACAGGTGGGCACCACCATACTCAGCTAATTAAAAAGCATTTTTTTTTAATAGACACAAGGTCTTGCTATGTTGCCGAGGTTGGTCTTGAACTCCTAGCCACAAGCAATCCTCCTGCTTGGGCCTCCCAAAATGCTGGGATCTATAGGCATGAACCACTCACTGCTCCTGGTCCTTTTATTCTTTCTTTCTTTCTTTTTTTGAGTAGGAGTCTCACTCTGTTGCCCAGGAACTGCAGCCTCCACCTGCTGGGCTCAGGTGATCCTTCTGCCTCAGTCTTTCAAGTAGCTGGAACCATAGGAATGTCCCATCACGCCTGGCTAATTTTTTGGTTTATCGTAGAGACGAGGTCTTGCCATGTTGCTCAGGCTGGTCTCGAACCTCTGAGCTCAGGTAGTCCTCTCACCTCTGCCTTCCAAACTGCTGGAATTGTAGACTTGAGCCACTGCGCCTGGCTCTTTTTCCCCCCTTTTGATAGTAAATGTAACACTTAATCACTGAAAACAATTCATCAAGGAACTATTAGTAAAAAGAAAAAAAATTCAGAGAACACAGACAAGGATATAACAGAAAATAGTAATCACTCATAATCCCATTATCCAGGACAAAGTTTGCTAATGTTTTGGTGTCTAGTCAACCACACATATTTCTGTCCACTTATTTCTATTATCTGTCTGTCTATTTTACAGAAATTATGCATACACACTGTTTTGTAGCTTATTTTCTCCACTTAATATATCATAAACCTGTCCCCAAGGTGTTAACATAGATCTATATCCTCACTTTAAATGGTTACATAACGTTCCATTGTGTGACTGAATGACAGCTTATTTAATCTGAACCCTATAATTGGGGTCCTTCCTGGCCCTCCTCCAAGCATGCACATTCAGAAGGCCCACTTGTTTGATGTTGTGAAATCATAAGATCCTGTCGCACAAAAAATAAAATGACACAATATAGTATTTATTTTGAATAGCAATTTCAGGAATGACAGGGTAAAGGAAAGTGAAGAAAGAAATGGTTGAGGTCATTGCTTTGTTAAACTCTGGTGTCTCCGCTTGGCTCTTTGAGCTATGGCCATGAAGTTTTCTTAGCTTTGGCCCCCTCTCTTACTTTGGAAAGGTAAGGGAGTGAGGAGATAGGTGTGACACAGGGACACAGAAAGTATGCAGGAATGAGCCTGACATAGGAGAAGACAGGAAACCGTCCAGGGTTGCTCTGAACCTGCTCAGTAGTGCTGGGTGGGAGTTTTTGGAATATAGAAGGGGACACGGTAGTCACTGGGAATAAGTGGCTAAGATTAGAAAAGTGGCCTGGGTCTGGCTGACCCTAAGACCAGGAGAAATTCCAGGTTGTGGTTTGCAGAGAGAGGTGGATGTCCCCCTAGGTGTTCCAGAGGACGATGACGGTGAGGATGGAGGAGGCCATGAAGAGCAGGTAGAGGCGGAAGAGCAGGGTGTCCATCATGTGGCTGAACCGCACCCACAGCTCCACGGAGGGCTGCTCCCGGGTCTCCTGTTCCTGCTGGGCCCTTGGCCATCCTGAGCTTCCAGTCAGTTCTGCCTCTCCGGGGCCTGGTACCTTCCCCACTAACTCCACTGGCTCCTTCAGGCCTGTGGAGAGGACGGAGACTCAGTCATGACACGGGGAGGGGACAGGATTAGAGAAGTGGCGGGCATTGGAGAAATTGGGCCTAACATGAAGGGAGAGTGTGGGCCGCGCTGGCTTCCCTCACCAGGCAGGTGGGTGGCGGTGAGACCCAGGCCCTTATTTCCCTTCTGGGGCGCAGTGGGGCAGCATTTCCTTGGGCTGGTGTAGTATAGCAGCAGGGCGTGGAGCCACCAAGGCATGGGTGGGGGCTGGGTGGTGGCCAGGTGCAGCAGGTAGGTGATGAAGACGGTCTCCAGCAGGCTGGCCACCATCAGGGACAGGCATAGAGCAAAGTAGACACCTGAGAGTAAAGAAAATAATAAATAAGCCAGGGCAGATCTATCTCTAAGCTTTTCTTACACCTCTTTTTCCAAATCTAATCTTCCCTCGGAGCCCCTTTATTCCTTAAGTTGAGCAACAGCTGGTTTTCCTAGTCCCTGCTGCTTATGCTTCTGCAGAAAGTGGAAGGGGCATACTGATGAGAGGGGTGCCACTAGCGGGCAGTAAGTCATTCATCATGAGCAGGAAGACGTTGTAGCCCAGCAGAAGGGTTATCTTGAATGGGGCACGATTCTCGCTCTCGGCCGGCAGGTAGAAGCTGAGGGCGTCGATGGCAACCAGGAAGCTACTGGGCACCAGCAGGTTTATGATGTAGAGGCTGGGTCTGCGCCTGATGGCCACCTGGAGAGAGAGATGGAGAAGATGGCAAGTAAATTGATGCCAGAGGGCTCAACTTGTATGTTTGACTATCGAATCCTTGCCAATGTGCTGTCAGACTGACTATGGAACAACCTTTGTTGGTAACATGTGCATATTTGATTGTGCACATCTACATAAGTGCCTCCAACTTACTGTCTAATTTTTATTTATTTTCAATCTGCCAGGAACACAATTACTGCAGAATTTTAGAGGCAAGTGGGTCCTTTAGGCCATTGTTTGCTGCTCTATTCTGAGCAGTAGTGCTTATAACAGCCCAGCCAGTCCTCCCTTCTGCAGGGCAGGAGGGTGATTGGGGAGTTGGGGAGGCCTGGGGAATCCTGCTTCAGGGCAGTTAGGTAGAGGAGGAGTGGGGAGCAGGTGCCTAACTCTCTGGAGTTTCTTTTTACTTTCCAAAGAGCCTTAGATCAAGAGGACAATCATAGAGCAAGTGGGATCAGAAGTCAAACAGGGCCCCCCGGACTCACATAGAACATGATCTGGTCATATAGGTTGCTGCCCACAGACATCTTTGGGGTGGCCTTGTTGATGCCCAGGAGCTCCCACTCTCCCTGGGTTCGAATGACGTCACGAGACGTGTCTGTAATCTCCCACACTTCCTTGTCCATGCCCAGCAACATGCTATCCACTGTTAGGGACACCAGTCAGCTCAGTTCAGAAGGGTTTCCAAGCCTCCTGCCTATAAGATCATAACATTTGACTCCCCCCGCCACCCCGTGGAGCTTCTTCACATTTTCCTCTGTCCTTTTAAAGCAGGGCACCCCTGGTTTTCTCAGAAGTGGGTTAAATAACTAGCAATTCATATGAATGTGGGCTGCAGCATTGAGTTTTTTTGTTGTTCTTGAAAACAAGAGTGAGTCAAGGTTGTTATGAGAATATTGAATATGACTCAAATGGGAGTCAAGAACATTTGGAGTCAGGCCTATTTTCCTTCTCAATCCCCCAGCCATGTGATATTGTTTTAGTGGAATCAGGCTTGAATAGCTCAATATTCTTATAACACATCCATTCCCATTAGGATGATTAATGTATCTAAATCTGCCACATGGCACTTGGTGCCATTCAGTTGCATTCATTTACTGGTTTAAGTGTGTTAACTATTAATGTTAAAACATTTGAGGTAAAAATTATAGGCGTGGCAGGGTGCGGTAGCTCACACCTATAATCCCAGCGCTTTAGGAGGCCGAGGTGAGAAGATTGCCTGAGCCTATGAGTTCGAGACCAGCCTGGACAACTTGTCGAGACATCATCTCTACAATAAATCAAGAAATTAGCCAGGCATAGTGGTGCATGCCTGTAGTTCCAGCTACTTGGAAGGCTAAGGCAGAAGGATTGCCTGAGCCCAGCAGGTCGAGGTTGCGGTGAGCTTGAGCGTGCTACTGCACTCCATCCTGGGCAATGGAATGAGATTCCAATTAAAAAAAAAAATTATAGGTGTGCAGCAGTTCAGAGTCAAATGGTTTCATTTGGCAGAAGGGCTATCTGAGATGTCAAGCAGTAGTTCCTACTCCTGTCTGCACATTAGCACCACCTGGGACCATATCAAACTAACGATGCCTGGGCCCTGCCTGGAGCAATTGAATTGGGATCTCTGGGATGATGTGCAGTTATGTTTTAGAAGCTTTGGTGGGCAGTCAGAGTTGAGTGACACTGATCTAAAACCTTCCCTATCAATACCTATACCACTTAAATATCTTCCCCTGAATCTTAAATATGTACCAAAATGCATGACACTTACCCGTGTAGAGGAAAGAACTGAAGGTGAAGGTGCAGTTCTGTTGGTCAAAAGGGAAGTAGAAGATGTCCAGGTTACAGATGCTGGTCACTTTCATTGGCTTATCGTACTTGATTCGACCTTCACTGCTGACATAGGCAGTGAGACCCGAAGGTGTCTGATCCACATCCATGCTGTTTGGGAAACGGAGGGGGAGCTGGGGACTTAATCGGCTTTTGTTTCCCTTCCTTTTAAGGTCTCCCCCTCCTGTGCTCTCCTTTTAGGGTCTTTCTCTACTGTCTTTTTATTCTGTTTCTTTTCCTCATAGTGTTTTGTGAAAGTCAGTTATTGGAGGATGTGCCCTTATCTGAATGTTTTGGTGGCCCCATGTTCTGCACTGACCCCAGGTTGTTCTTGACAGATGGGGCTTCCCACTGGCTTTCCCCAACCCAGATAACGCACGATTCCAGGATGAAGATGTCTGGGAGCCACAGGTTTTCAGCTGATACTGTGAGTTTTTTGATGCCAACACACTCTTCTGGGTTCCAGCTGATAAAAGGATTGTCCCACACCTGCAGCCAGGGCAGTGCGGGATGAGTGATACGTGAGCTTGTTCTGTCAGGCTCTCCAGCCCTTCCCATTCTTCCTTAAACTTTGATCCTCCCATTCCTATTTGTGACCCTAATGACCACAGCCTATCGCCCCCTCTTTATTTAATAAGATGTCATCAGCCGAGTACCCCTTAACAGCCTTTTACCAAGGCGGATCTTAAATATGACCTAAAACCACTTGAGGGCAGGTATACTGCAATGTCTCCCTTCCTTTTAAGGTCTCCCCCTCCTGTGCTCTCCTTTTAGGGTCTTTCTCTACTGGCCTGCAATGATTTAACCATTTTGGGGTTGCCATTTCTATCTTCCTAAACTTCCCAGGGAAGGTTTGTGTCCCCAGGGTCAGTCCAGTTCTAGATGGAGTTACTTTGCCCCAGAATAATTTATACTTTGGGTAGAGCTTTGAGCTAGAAAACCTTTCAGTCACTTCTATCTCCTCAAATTTAAAATTGCAAATGGAAGCGGGAAGGGGATAGTTCATCTGCCTTACCAAATCCATCCACATGAATGACGTCAGCAGCTGGAGTTGTGCATCCTGATAAAGAAATCCCCATCCAGGATGATTAGTGCAAAAAAATTTGGCCCACACCCATCTCACATTCTCACCAATATTTACTAATTTATTGGGCCAGTTCTAGATACTGAACGGTTTTTTTCCATACTCGTTTTCCCTGTGGCTAGGGACAATTCTGATTTTAATGACTATGTGAATACAGACTACTTCTTTCTAGAACATTCCCGAAAGGACCAGACTCCAGGACAAATAGCTTCCTGAAAAAAAATCACTGTAGCATTCTTTTCTTGCCTCTCCACTGCATAGGAAGACTGTTTAATTTGTACAAAATTTATTGAGGGTACCTATTGTTTACCACTGGACTGTGGCAATGTTGGGTTGACAGGGCAAAGGGTCCTTATTCCCTATTGGAAGCCATGGAAAGACTGCAGGGACCAGGTCTCACCACTTCCAGGATGGCAGACAGGGTGAAGGAGAGGTTGACATGAGTGGGGGCACTGAAGTTGACGACTGGACGGAAGGCCTTTCTGTCAAACACAGCCTGGAAGGCAGCAGGGTCCACCCCATGCTGGTCAAAGCCTGAGCAATTGATGGTGAAAGTGTTTCCTCTTCCTGTAGAAAGCAGATACCCTATGAGAGAGGGCTTCTCTTTTCAGGGCTGGAGCCTCTCTGCAGAGAAGGAAAAGAGGGTGCATACTGGGAGGAGCAGGTGAGTCCCTCCTTTCTGGGCCAAGACTTCCCAAGATCAAGATTGGGGAGGATGGACTGGTAGGCAAATGGTGGAAGTCGATGTGGTCAGCTGAGTCAGTACTCTACTCTCATTCCCATTGTTTCGTTCTCATGCAAAATCTTCCCAAATCTGTATGCAAACTTGGCTTTAGTACAAACGCCAGCCACTTCCAGGAGTCTTTCAGTGTACCATCATAAGCCTCTTGGTTCTACCTAGCAGTAGCAGTGCTTACTACTGCCCTAAAACTTGTAGACCAGGTCACTTAGAAATCTGCTGTAATATATTGCTCTTCCTAACTCTTAGGGCTTTCCATCTACTGAAGGCAAGAATTGATTTGTCAAGAAGGTAAAAGAAGTAAGCAGCTACACTTACTGGAAAGATATGGGAAACATATAGTTGGTATTCTGATTGGGTGCTTACTTTGGTGCCAGGCATTTATCTTGTTCTTCTCAGATTAGTGACCTCAGATATCTTGTGGGTTATTTCCAGCATTAAGATCATTAGGTGATATCACTGAGCACATACTATATTCCCATTCACAAAGTGAGGCCTCTCTTGGCCATGGACAGGGAGCTGAGTAGTACCCGACCAGAATCTTTGCCCCATTGACATCTTTTTATGGTCTTTTTCTCTGTTTCTGTCTTTATATCCTCCATCTCTTTACATAATATTTAAGGTATGTACCCAGAATAGGAACAAATATTACCTCACGGAAACAAAATATCTACTCCTTTATGCCTCAGATTGATCTCCACACTGCCTTGGCATTTTGTTTAATCCTTCAGGGCATGTTTAAAGTTGGTAGCTACATTTTTGGGATATATAGCAAGAGAAAAAGAGACAAGGAAGGGGAAAGAGGGTTGTGGTGGAAAGGGCATCAGAGGTCAATGAAAAGATGGAATTGGAGAAATGGTGAAATTGGACAGTTTTTAGATCCCTCTGCAGGCAGGAATAGAGAAAGGCTGTGTGTACTCATTGGTGAATGTCTTTCTATCTATCACCGAAAGGAAATCAAGAGACGTGCATCATGGAAGAAATATTTAACATGTTAATTCTTGTGTGTGTGTGTGTGTGTGTGTGTGTGTGTGTGTGTATTTCACATCATAAAACAGCTTCTGATTTAACATGTTAATTCTGAATGCCCAAGAAATATTTAACATGTCAATTCTTGTGTGTGTGTGTGTGTGTATTTGACCAGTCATAAAATAGCTTCTGATTTAACATGTTAATTCTAAATGCCCAAGTGCTAGAAGGTAAGTAATGGATGCCCCTCAGAACCACACTCTGGTCTGTCCCATCTTACCTTGAAGCAGAAGGCTGACAGTAAGACAGAGGAAGACTTCTCCTCTTGCAGGCCAGCGCCAGCGCTCTTTCATTCTCCTGTCTAGACTCGTCTCTGGGGACTCACCAGGATCCCCCAAACCTGTGAGCTTAAAGGAGCCTGAACCACACCTCGGTTCCTGGTTTTGAATACTGTGCATGTCAGATGACCTTTCCCTTAGTGAGCGGCTGTGGCCAGAGAGATCCCAGCAGTATCCTGCTTTGCCCCTGCCCAGGTATGCCTTCCGGGCTCCAGGCAGGCAGGAGGTTGGGCCAACACTTAGGGGAGGAGCATTCTATTTGGCAACTTTATACTGAGATCAATAACAAAATAGCTTGCTTTAATGAGAGAGCGTAGGCTGGGAAAATAAGAATTGTGTTTCTCCAAGGCCAGGGAATCTGCAGATGGCCCAGGATGTGGATGGCAATGTTCAGTGAATTGATTATGAATACCAAAGTATCTTACAGCTTTTGTTGACATTGGAATTATTCTAAATACCAAATGATAAAGCTTAGTTCATACTTTCATCAGTTAGCATCTATATTTTTTCTCTATATATTTAGTCCCTAATTAGATTTCCTCTTTCCAATCTCTCTGCATTTCTGATTCATTCTCTTCAAACCAATGTTCTCCATACATTTTTATGCTATGCATTGATTATAAGATACTAGCAGTCACAAAATTAAAATAACAACACTTTGTGCTGTCAGTGGTGTGACATTATCATAGACTAGCAATCTCAGTTAACATAAATATTATTGGCTTGTGTCAATATGTCTTATATCACAATCCTATTTAAAAAAAACAATCAGGGCCGGGTACGGTGGCTCAAGTCTGTAATTCTAGCACTTTGGGAGGCCGAGGCGAGAGGATTGCCTGAGTCCAGGGGTTCGAGACCAAGCTGGGCAATTTGGCAAGACCTTGTCACTGCAATAAAAAAAAAAAATCACCTGAGCCCAACAGGTCAAGGATGTGGTGACTGTGAGCGTGCCATTGCACTCCAGCCTGGGCAACAGAGTGAGACTCCGACTCAAAAAAAAAAAAGAAAAAATCCAGATCAAATGAATGATTTGAAGCACTTTTATATCAAGTATCTTAGTTTCATTTCCAGAAAGTCTTGGAAATTTTTCCATGCAGAAAGGATGAAAGGTCAGACCTAGGATACAAAAGAAACTTTGTTCAGAATGGAAGATCATGACAGCCCTAAATAGAAAGTACTGAGAATGGCAGCAGTGACTTCCCAAAGTAAGAAAGCACATGAGAGAAGGCTGCAAGAGATCCCATTTGAAGTTTCCATAGCTGCAGTCCTCAGTCCTACAGGTCTGCAAGTAATTTCTTCCCTCCTTTGGAAACCCGGCCAGCCTGAGCCAGTGGTTGAGGGGAGAAAGAGAAGAAAAAAGGTAGCTAGATGTATGGGGTCGAAGGACCAGAAAGGGAGAAAGAGAAAGACAAAGAGGAATTGTTAGAAACCAGCTCTAAGCTTAGGGCTCTCTTTTGTGATTTCACAGGATATATCTGGGAGACAGGCTAGCATATGGTAGCATAAGGTACTGGCTAACACATGAAGGAAATTGTTGGTGTTGGTATGAGGGCTGGAGCAATGAGCCAGGCTACAGATGCCCTCTCACGCTAGGAAGCCAGGTGGCCCTATAGTGCACTTTTTTTTTTTTGAGTTGGAGTCTCACTCTGTTGCCCAGGCTGGAGTGCCGTGGCACACTCATGGCCACCCTAAGATTGACCTGCTGGGCTCCAGCGATCCTTCCGCCTCAGCCTTCCAAGTAGCCAGTACTACAGGTGCATGCTACCATGGCCGGCTAATTTTTTTTATTTATTGTAGAGACGAGGTCTCGCCAATTTGCCCGGGCTGGTCTCAAACCTGTGGGCTCAGGCAATCTACTCAACTCAGCCTCCCAAAGATGACAGGCTGAGCCACCAAGCCCAGCCCATAGTGTACCTTTAAAGCAAGTCAAACACAGGTGTGATCAGGGATAAATCTGGAAGGTCAGGCATGTGGAAGGCCCAGGAAGTGGACAGAAGCAGAAACAGCAGCAAATAAGATGAACCCAGTGCCTTTGGCTTTGGACTAGAATAAAAGGCAGAGATTTGGGGACTGGGATCCCTGGAAAAAATGGGCTATCATTCAAAGTGATTCTCTGCTTAAAGAAAGGGGAGTGGAGCTGGGCTCGGTGGCTCATCCTGTAATCCCAGTGCTTTGGGAGGCTGACGTGAGTGGATTGCCTGAGCTGGCGGGTTCGAGACCTGCCTGGGCAACTTGGCGAGACCTCATCTCTACAATAAATCAAAAAATCAGCCGAGCGTGGTAGCGCGTGCCTGTAATTCCAGCTACTCAGAAGGCTGAGGCGGCAGGATCACCGAAGCCCAGCAGGTCGAGGCTGCGGTGGCCGGGAGCAGCCACTGCACTCCAGTCTGGGCGACAGAGTGAGACTCCGATTCAAAAAAAAAAAAAAGAAAGGGGAGTGGGAGCTGAATATGACTTAACAGTCTGTTAGAAATTGAGCATGAAGTCTGTCATGTAGGACCAAGGGAGTACTGTGTCTGTATCCACATGGACACACCCTCGGGGTGCTGGATTCTTGGACTGGCTAAGAGTGACTTTTGAGGGAGAAGTGCTGGAGTTCCACTGATAGGTAGGCAGAACTATCAGACCTTGGACCCAGGAAAGGAGAGTTAAATGCAAGCTCTGCCAAAAGACAGCTGAAGACAGTGGATATGTATCTTGTTTTTATCAAGGTTGGTTGAAAAACTAGAGTGAGCCTGGATCTGAAGGTTGGACTCAGAAGTAGATTCAGCTACCAGGAGATGGAGACGGTAGAGGCAGGAGAAATAAGGCAACAAGGCTAGGACTCACAGCCTGCTGGGGAGTCAGAGTTTTAGCTCTGGGATCTGGAAATCTCAGGTCCTACTGCTGCTGCTGCTGTTACTGTTGCTACTGGTGGTGACAGCTAAAATGTTGAGCACTTTATTGTATGTCACTTAACTGTATGTGACAAGCATCTTACCTACTTTATTTTATTTAATCCTCTCAATAATTCTACAATACAGATATTGGGCAGCAGCATGTTGGAAAAGGAAATAGAACCAACTAAATAGAAAGAAGGCAAGCTGACCATATATTTCCCAACCATATTTAAGAATATAGCAAATTTGAGGAAAATATAAATTTTTCATAACCAAAACAACACCCACAATCAATTGATCATCACAACAACAAAAACAACAAAATGATGACTTAGAAAATATTTTCGAACAAAGCAGTAAAAATGACAATAGTTAAAATAATCTGATCTGCAGGTTTTACAGTGCTTATGACTTAAAGCAAGCCATAAGAATCCCATAGTTGGTTGTGTGCAGTAGCACAAGCCTGTGATCCCAGCACTTTGGGAGGCCGAGGCGAGAGGATTGCCTAAGCTCAGGGGTCTGAGAACAGCCTGGACAACTTGGTGAGACCTCGTCTCAACATAAATAAAAAAAAATATAAGCCGGGCATGGTAGTGCATTCCTGTAGTTCCAGCTACATTGAAGGCTGAGGCAGAAGAATCACTTGAGCCCAGCATGTCAAGGCAGCGGTGGATAGGAGGTACCACTGCACTCCAGCCTGGGCAAACAACAGTGTGAAAAGGCAACCTATAAAATGGGAGAAAATATTTGCAAGCCATATATCTGATTAAAGGTTAACATCCAAAATAAGAAACTCCTACAGCTCAATGGTAAAAAAAAAATCAGTTAACCAAGTTTAAAAATAAGCAAAAAACTTGAACAGGAATTTCTCCAAAGAAGACATACAAATAGCCAACAGATGCATGAAAAGATGCTCAGCATCACTGATTATCAGGAAAATGCAAATTAAAATTACACTGAGATATTGCCTCACACCTGCTGAGTGGCTATCATTGAAAAACCAAAAGATAACAAGTGTTAGTGAGGACATGGAGAAATCAGAACCCTTGCACATTGTTGATGGGAATAGTAAATGATGTAGCCTCCATGGAAAACAATTTGATGATTCCTCAAAAAATTAAAAACAGAATTACCATATGATTCAGCAATTCCTCTTCTGGGTATATATCTAAAAGAATTATAATTATGGTCTTGAATAGATATATGCACTCATGTTCATGAAGTATTCTAAATAGCCAAGATACAGAGACAACTAAATTGTTCTTTAGGGGATGAATAGATTTTAAGAATGTGGTATATACATACAATGGACTATCATTCTGCCTTTAAAAAGAAGGAAATCCTACTTCTTTTTGCAGGACATCATGCAGTGAAATACGTCAGTCACAGAAGGACAAACACTAGTGACTCCATTTATAGGAGATATCTAAATAGTCAAACTCATGGAGTCAGAGAGTAGAATGGCAGTTGCTAGGGGCTGCAGGGAGGGGAAAATTGCTTTACAACAGGTATCAAGTTTCAGTTTTGCAAGTTGAATAAGCTCTAGGGATATGCTCTACAACATTGTACTATAGTTACGAATACTGTATTGTGCACTTAAAATTTTGTAAAGAGGGCAGATTCCATGTTAGGTGTTCCACAAGAAAATAAAATTGAGAATAAGAAAAAAATCATGTGATTTTTTTTTTGGCATGAACGTTAGGTCTCTTTCTACCTTCAGATCCCTGATGGTGTGCAGAGTACTCAAAGCACACGCACTACTTTCCATGTTGGTAAGCCCTCCCTCTCTGAGAAATAATTAAGCACTTGGAATGCTTGTTGAGGTGGCATACTCTCTTAGACTAGCTCTCATTTGGACTTCATCTGAGGACAGAGTCCCCTATTACACTGTGACTAAGACAATCTCTCCCAGGAGTGCCTGCCTCCTCCTTCCCTTCTTCAGTGGGCTTTCAGAAAGGGAAGTCAGGCTGTGCACGGTGGCTCAAGCCTATAATCCCCCAGCACTTTGGGAGGCCAAGGTGAGAGGATTGCTTGAGCCTAGGGGTTCGAGACCAGCCTGGGCAACTTGGTGAGACTTCACCTCTATAATAAGCCAAAAAATTAGCTGGGCATGGTGGCATGTGCCTGTAGTTCCAGCAACTTGGAAGGCTGAGGTGGAAGGATTTCCTGAGCCCAGAAGGTCGAGGCTGCAGTGGCTGTTAGCATGCCACTGCACTCCAGCTTGGGTGACAGAGTGAGACT